AATGGGAGAGAAGAAGAAGAAGGAAGGAAGAAGAAGAAGATGGGAAGAAGAAAATGGAGGAAGAAGAGGAAGAAGATGAAGGAGAGATCAAACCTTGAGCTTGGAGGAGGGAAGAGAGGCCGGCGGCTTGAAGAATCGCAAGAGGAGATGAGGGGCGGCTCCTTGGGCGTGGAAATGTCGTGAAATGAGAGTGGGAGGGGCGGTTGGGAGAGAGTATGAGGGTTTAGGGGTTTAAGTGAGGGCATTTTAGGGATTTTTGGGATTTTTTTATTTAGAAAAAATTATTTTCTTATTTAAAACCTCTCTTTCTCTCCCTCTTTTTCCAAAACTCTTTAATTAGATTGCACAAAAAAAAAAATTTAATCTTGCATCGAGTTGGTCGTCGCGTCGTCGCCCGCACAAGTCGTCGTCTCGATTCGCGCGCCCAAAATTTAATTTTTCGCCGACCGGCGACCCCCACCAATATGGGTGTCGATCTTAGCTGTTTCCATTGCTCCGGACACATCGGCGCTGTCCGTTTCGCAAACGGAGGTCGTCTCGACGATTTTGGGTTTTCGGGTCGACACGCGTCGGGTGAGATTTTGCGCGATTTCGAGCTCTTTCACTTTTCGAACTCATCTCGCGCGGTCGACTCGACCCGACACTAGTATTAGGGTCAACATGAGATAATTAAGGTTAGGGTTATTTGAAAATTGGTGGCTATTTTGGTGTCTTGGGTACTTGGCTTCTTAGGCTATAGCAGTGTCTAGGGATTCGGAGAGATCAATCCTCCTCTAGAATTGAGAATCATTTGTATCGTGGTATTTTCATTCCGTTCTATTTGATTTCTTGCAATAAAATAATTATTTTTTTTATTTTCACTGGAGTTTGGAAGAATTTTCTCGTTATTTTATCGAAATTTGTAAGATTTACTTGAAAACTTCAAGTATTTCCTATCAGATTAATATTATAACTAGAAAGTGATATGAGTACAACAAAGATAATTATCAAGAATTATAAGGATAAGAAATAAAAAATTTATGAGACAATATAAAGATAGCATGAAAGCCTAGAATGCAAAATCCTTAGGAATACTCAAACTACAAAATAGAATTATTTGCATTGTCTTGCTTGATACCTGATGAAAACATGGGAATGAGGATTGAATTTTTTTCGATTCATGTCGAAACCTCCTATTCATCAGTGTCAACAATCTGGTTCTCTCATCTGAATCATAAAACTATTGAGACCTAATCATCACTATGTCCAGGTGAGGAGTTGTAGAAAAAATGGATCAATATCAATGTTAATGCTAGTAGATGTAGTATGTAGTAGTGACCATCTCTATGGGGCTTGTAGAAGCAAGGAAAAGAGCTTCTAATTCCAAAGAGCAATTTAAGACTGATTCTAAATTATGATTGCAAAACTTAACCTAAATTACTGACCTCCAAAAAAATAAATGGTCAGATTTGCTCATTTGGTTTTATGTTTTACACTTGACTAGATTTTCTCATATTCTGGATATGAAGCACTCAAAGAATTTATGCCTAAAAATTTTGTGGGAAGAATAATTTGATAAATTTCGCTCTTTACTAATATCCATAAGTCAAGAAACCAAAAAACACCTCCTTTTCTAATTGAGAAGTAACTTCTAATTCAACAAAACACTTGCCACATAAGACCTAGCAAGACCAATAGTAGCATTATCCACATGCAGTTATTTGCCAAATATAGAACACATGTTATATAAAGTCCATTAGTTGAAAAAATATAAATGAGGTTGAGGGAATGCAATTCGAATCGAAGCGATAGATGTTTCCTCTAAAGAGTCAAAATGAGGAGACCTTTTTAGCATGCATTAGGAAGCCACTGCTGAAGTAGGATTATTGAGAGAAAGATTTAGTGTAGTATATTTTTAAAGATAGTATAAAAATATGATATTATTAGGATCAGTGAGGCCAAAAGAATAGTCACCAACAAAATGTTAATCAGACATAAATTTGTGGAAAACCTCTAAATGGGGGCATCCCAAAAAGAACTTGCCAACAATAAAAAAACACAAAGGCTTAGTAAGCTCAGAGGTCTCTCTTTTGTGAAAAGGAGTGCAGGTTTGCTTTGATACATGAATGAATGCTAATGATAAAGCGATAATGGATCTTGACGATAAAAATAAAGGGAAATGGTTGGATGGAGGAATTAAATTTTGAATCATTCAACTCACAAATAAAAATTGCAAAGAAAGGAGAAGGGTGAGCAAGAGGAGGCACAATTTCTAGGTATAGAAGCAGGAGCAGCCTTCACGAAGAAAATGAGCATCAGGATAAGTGGCGACAACAGTGACCAAATTCGAGGTTTAACTGAAACCTTATGAACAATGAAAGTGGGAAGAGGGCAAAAAATCTGAGTGCCCCTATGCAAAAGCACAGTAAATGATAACACCAAACGTGCTAAACAACATCCATCCCCAATCAAAGATGCGGTTGGGTGCCCCTCACGCATGAGCGCTGAGGTGCATAGGTGGACACGACACGGTCAAGGAGCAAAAGTTGGTGATTCACTAACAAACAAAATTTCCTTTGTGGTTGGCTTCACACCTTAGTGACTTTTTAACTTCATTGGCTCATATTTGGGCTTGATCTAGGTTGGGTTTGGGTTAATTTCTTTTAGGCATGTTTATTATTTGACTGATTTATGACAGACTTATACACTACATTCATACAACTCTCACTTTTAATGATAAGTTTGCAAAATTTCCCCTCATGTTTAAAATAAGTTTAAAAAATTAAAATTATTTTCTAATCATACTCAATCATTGAAATGCATAACATTCAAAAAAAGTATCAACTAAAACACCTTTAGAATCACTAATATTCCTCTCAAAAGATTAGAATTATCATTTATTTGGGATTATTCAAATTATAGGATTTATCTAGATTTAAAAAATGAATCAGTTTGAATTATCCATGAAACCCTATTTATATAAATAAGGTCATGCATACATTATAAATAATTATTTTATTATGAATGAAATTTGAATCAATTTCCCTTGAAATATATCCTCTCTTTCCCATGGCTCCTTCTCTCTCCAACTATAAGATCTTGATTCCCAAGACTCCCTAATGATTCTTTCTCCCCACACAATTTACCAATTATGAGATAACCTTGCAGTTCTCTCTCTATTTATCCAAGCGTAATTTTCCCAAATTCCTGTCCTGCTTCAACCAAGATTTATCCAATATTTTCTCTCCCTTTTTCCTCTTAAATCTAAAGGGATGAAGATTCAAAGAAAAGTGCTACAATCAAAGCAATCTAGAAGGAAGAAGATCAAGGAGATCACCAACAAGAGCCCTTCATCATGTGTATCAGTTTGTTATCATATCAATTTTATAACATAAATTGGTATTAAAGCAACCTATTTACATCAATTATTTTAAGGAGAAAGTACAACCGTGCCACGCAACAAAGTTGTTTGACTTGCAAGAAGAAAAAGAGAAATATTCATTCTGTATAGATCTGTCTAAAGAATATGACACAAACAGATTTCTTTCTACAATTAACTTATAGCTAATATACAAACAGATTTCTTTCTACAATATTTAAAAGCTAATACCAAAAAAACTAAGTTGACAAGTAAACTCACCTCAAGACACGAAATCTTGAATTCATGGGGAGCCCTTCGGATAACTACAAATCATAAAGTGAAATTTATTTTAAAAGAAAGCTAAAAAGTTTTACATTAAACTTTCCCTTAGTATAAATACATTACCTATCACAGAGCAAGTACAAGTTTTGATGTTCAAATCCTACTAATAGAGCTCCATACAACCATGCATTTTCCAATTATATCAGTTAGAAAAATTCCAAAAAGTCATGTGGAATACTATTTCAAACATGACCGAAAAGTGTGTTTCTTCCGTAACAAGATGGAAAGCTTTATATCAAAATAGTTATATTTTTTGGGTTGTGCAGCAACATACATATTTGATAAAATTTATAGTTCTCACATAATAGCGACCGAACCAAGCAATGTTAGCCTTCCAAATCATATCTTCAAAGTTTTGATCATGTTCAATGACAACAGAAAAAAAAAAAAGAAGAAGAAGAAAAGTAGTCCACGCTTTTTAGTTAAACTACTTGATACCTCATCGAACAACCAAATCAATATCTTTGACCACTGAATTTCATGCTTAGTTTATATCTCAGCAAAGACAACAGCAATCAAAAGTTCAAAGTTTAAAAAACATACACTTGTTCAGAACGCTGGTTGCAATGCTAGTTGGCACTGTCTATTTAGTGTTACAAGGATGAAACAAAAGAAGATTACTAGCAGCAACAGCTATTCATGTAGTAAAGACGCCAAACCGTGATGCCATAAAAACAAGAGCAACCTCAATAACGAATTCAGGATAAGCAATGCTTGGAATGTTTTCGTAACTAAACTACTACTTAGCAGCAAGAAATGAACCATGAAGGGATTCATACAGCCCTACAGCATTGATAGATAGGGTGAGGAGAATGACGACTAATTAAGGTATCAGAAGACATCAGTCACCTTCTCTATAAAGTGAAGGGAAGAGACCATCAGGAGACATGACGACTGGACCAAGTGGAAGCTCTTTCCCATCCTGAAAAGCAGAAGTAGAACTCTTTATAATTGTATAATACCAGGTGGACTATGGATCATACATCATAAGAAGAAGAAAAAATAAGAAATTGCCCTTTTAATGTGAAAGCAATGGAGATAATATATGAAAGGTTCAGTTTTCAAATGATAACCTGTTTAAGATTGAGAAGGAACTGCCTCGTTAAATATGCCTGAGAAATAGCTCGAGCACTGAGAAAAAGCAATTGATAACCATTACCCTACATCAATGCAATTCAATGTTACATGCCAATTAACAGAAAGAAAGCAATGAATACGAAAGAAGGTAATGAATGAAGCCTAAAGCAGCTCCAAACATTGTGAAAAGATAGCAGCACGAGAGAAAACAAATAGCATTTGAGACAAATAAATATATAGACCACAACATGATGACAAAGTCTAAAAGCTGAAGCATCAATTAGTTTGAAAAAATAGAAACATGAAACTAATCTACTTGCGTGCAAATCAATTCCTTTACATAAAATGTATGGTCTCTATCAGAAATATACTGAGTGATACTACAGTAAGAACTTCCCGTTAAAAAAAGGAATAATTGTCAATATCACATTGATATTTTATTATCCAACAACCCCAGCACCTTACTATTTACTGAGAGTTAAACTTACCATAGAAAAACAAAAAACATTCATGGCCTCTGTAGAAACTTCTTTTAAGAATGAGATAAGGATCAAAATGGTTCTCACTTATTTAAAAGTCTCATTTTAGTCTCTTGACTTTTTAAATAGGAGCTAAATGATCTTACATAAGGACTAACTTGGTCCCTATTTAAAACTTCAAGAGACCAAATCGGTGCTAATATCTAGTCAAAGACAATTTTGATCATTTTAAAAAAAAATTAGGGATCACTTTGGTCTATTTCTCTTTTAAGAATCAAAATAGACAATAGAAAATTTGCTATGGCACTTGTCCATTCATATGACACTTATCATAAATACAAAATGTTTGCTTTACAAAAATTTGTTTTGATTTTGAACTTTTGTAGAATTAAATTTTGAATTTTAAATTTAGTTGTAATCAACTAGTTGAGTCAATAAGAGTCTATATTTGCATGTCTATGATCTTATCCTATTTGTAAGGCTATATTTTGGTTATGCAATTGATTCCCTATTTCTACAATTATTATATTTTGTGGTTGATTCTATTTTGTGTTTCATATACTCATGATTGGTGAGTTGGTGTAATTTTCAACGTTTATTTTAATCCCTGATGCAACTAACTTGAACATGGCTATCATTGTTATAGCAGATTAAACTGCTACTAAGATAACCACACTTTCACAAGATCTCTCCTCAGGAGTGCCTCTTAAGATACTCCCTCAAAAGTACCTTCCGTAGACCTTCTCTTTTGGGGCTGCTCTATTTTCTTCTTAGGATTAATACCTGCTCCGGCATATCGCAGGCACCTCACCAAAGGTCATTTAAAGAGATTTATCAACATTATAAATCTCTTCTCACTTTTTCTATTTTAATTTTTCTCTCTTCCATTTCATAGAATGACCTTGGCATATTAATTTTTTTTATATATCTCTTTATATTTATTTCAATTTATCGAGCATGTACTCTCTTTTGGTCTCTCACGAGGATAATTTTCCACTGTTCAAGGCTAGTTATGTGAAGCTTAGTAATTTCTTGTTGCGAGTTAGGCAACTCCTAAAGATCTTCTGTGAGGCTTCTTCAAATATTATAGTATGTGGATTGTGAACTATAGCAACCATTTGGCAGGGTATGGTTGGGTTTCAACTTCCTCCATTTGAAACTTTAACTGATACTCCCTTGGATGATTTTTATTCTTATTTGGTATGCATAAAGCATATCATCATGGTAACTTTTGCATGCAAGAATGGCCGATGCTGAATAAAATTGTGCTTCAGAGGTACCAAGGTTTATTATCCTTCCAGGATTCAAATTCTCTAATTAGGCATGACACTTGAAACTTCTGGAGAAGAAATCTCGCACACTCACCCTAAAAAATATGCTCCATGTACTTCAATTATCCACAAACTTAATATCAATACAAAAACTTACCAATGATCATAATTGTCAAGCTTTATTTAACCCTACTTATTGCTTATTTCATGACAAGAGATCGAAGAAGAGGATTGGACTTGCTAAGGAAAAAACTGGGTTGTACTACCTAGAAGAACTAAACCAACTTAAAAACAGCTGCTCTATGTTATCCCTAGTTGATAAGAATTCTGCTATTTGGTTTCATCAGTATAGGTTAGGACACCCATCTTTTGATGTCCTAATACAAATATATCCATAACTTTTTAGAAATTAGAAAATAAATATTTTTATTGTGAAACTTGTGAGTTAGCCAAACACCCAAATAAAAATGAGAGATATGATACTCCTTTCTACCTTATTCATAGTGATACATGGGAACCCTAAAAAATCTCCAATATCTCTGGGATACACTGGTTTGTATCATTCATTGATGATTGCACTAGAGTCTCTTGGATCTATCTCTTAAAAAATAAATCCGATGTTAGCACCATTCTTCCCATCTTTCACACAATGATCCAAAATCAATTCGGGGTGAAATTAAAAAAATTTCGCTCCAACAATTCTAAAGACTATTTTAACCAAACCCTATCCTCTTACTTCCAAAGCGAATGTATCATCCATGAGTCCTCATGCATTCACACCCCACAACAAAATGAGGTTGCCGAGAGAAAAAATACCTTCTAGCCTCCACTCAAGCTTTTCTAATCCACTACAATACACCCAAATCCTATTTAGGGGGAAGCCCTCCTAACTGTAACTTATCTCATAAACCGACTACCTTCAACAGCCCTAGGACTCAAAACTTCAATGGAGATTTTGTCCTCATTTTACCCCAAGTTTCGAACCTATCATAACCTCACACCAAAAATCTTTGAGTGCACTGTCTATGTTCACAATCACAGCCAAAATAGAGGAAAATTAGATCCAATAGCACTCAAATACATCTTTATTGAATATTTAGCCACCCAAAAAGGGTACAAGTGTTATCATTCCCCCACAAAAAAAACCTTGATTTTGTTGATGTTACCTTTGATGAACAAAATTCTTATTTTACCAAATCTCATCTTCATGGGGAGACTGAAATAAAGTAAAATGAGAAAAGTGAGCTTGTCTCTCTTGACCTTCCTCCAACCAATCCTCCTGAAATCAAAAATAGGAACCTAAAGATAAAGCCAAGTAGATTTGGGAACGTATATTCCAAGCATACAAGTTCGAATTGTACTCCGAAGCAAATCCAAGAATCTGAATCATCTCCTGGAATCAAGATAAATAAAAATTCACCACCTCCCTTGTATCCCATAGCTAACTCTATTTCCTTCAATAAATTTTAATCCTCACACAAAAACTTTCTGGTTTAGAAGAAATTTATATTCCTAAAAATATTTTTGAGGCTTTATCTGATGAAAATTGAAAAAATGTCATGAGAGATGAAATACAGGCCCTAGCGAAGAACAATACATGGGAAATCATCAAACTTCTAAAGTAAAAAAAATAGTCGGTAGCAAATGGGTATTTTTTTGTAAAATACAAAGTTGATGGTACACTGGAAAGGTATAAAGCAAAACTAGTGGCGAAAGGGTATACTCAAATATATGACATTGACTACCAGGAAACTTTTACACCTGTAGCCAAGATGAACACTGTCAGGATCCTACTTTTACTAGCAGCTAATACAAATGGCACCTAGAACAGCTAGATGTAAAAAATGCATTCCTACATGGGAACTTGAAGGAAGAGATATTTATGGAGATACCACCATGATTTAAGAAAAAAATTTGGAGGTGACAAAGTATGCAGGTTGAGAAAAGTCCTATATGGGCTAAAACAATTACCCAGGGCATGGTTTGAAAGATTCTCAAAATTCATGTTTCTTAATGGGTATCGACAGAGTCAAGGGGACCATACACTCTTCTTTAAACACAAACTAAGGAGAAGTCACAATACTATTAGGTTATGTGGATGATATTATCTTGATTGGGCATGATAAAACGGAGAAAGAAAGTCTAATAAAAAAAATCTTATCAAGGAATTTGATATCAAAGATCTTGGTAGGCTAAAATATTTTTTTGGAATTAAAGTATCTCATTCCAGCAAAGGAATCTTCATCTCACAACAAAAGTACATTAAAGATCTTCTGAAGGAAATAGGAAAACTAGCTTGTAAATCAGCACCAACTCTAGTAGAATAGAATCTCAAATTGGGAGAAGCAAAAGAAGATCTAGACGTAGATAAGGGAGCTTACCAGAGATTTGTGGAAAAATTGATCTACTTTTCCCACACGAGACCAGATATAGCATTTGTTGTAAGCATGGTTAGTCAGTTTATGCAAAATCCAAAACAGACTCATATGCAAGCAATAGACAAAATATTGCACTACCTTAAGAGTAACCCAAGAAAATGAATTCTCTTTAGAAGAGATCACGGAGTAATCGTAGAGGCATACATTGATGCTGATTATGCAGGATCACCAGTAGACAGAAGATTTACTTCTGGGTACTGCATATTCCTTGGAGGAAGCCTAATTACATGGAGAAATAAGAAACAGAATGCGGTGGCAAGATCTAGTGCAAAAGCAGAATATAGGGTTATGGCCTTGGGAATATGTGAGGTACTACGGATCAAGATGATTCTAGAAGATCTAAGGATCAAGTGGGATGAACCCATAAAGTTGTATTGTGACAAAAAACAATAATCAACATAACTCACAATCCAGTCCAACATGACAAAACCAAGCACGAAAGATATTTTATAAAAAAAAAGTTAGACAACGGTCTTATATGTATCAACCATGTGTCAACAAAAGATCAACTTGCAGATATCCTTACCAAAGGATTAGATAACTCTGTCTTTCTCAGAATGATAGCCAAGCTGGGAATAAAATATCCATATTTCCCAGCTTGAGAGTGAGTGTTAAATCCCAGTCATTCCCTCTCGAAGAAGATCAGACGATCACAAAGCATGATCCGTGGGAAGCCCGCAGGAATCACACCAGAGTCACGTTGATTTCTTTCCATAGTGAAGTAGCTGATTTAGGAAGGAGTGTATTAGAGCTATTATGCATGAATCTGTAAATATTTGTTTTTTTATTAAGATATCCTATATAGATCTATAAATAGGGAAGAAATTGTTTAATAAAATAAGTTTTTTTCTCTCAAAGTTCTTGATTTCAACAAATATGTTATCTCCTTATTCCATAATAAATTTCAATACATCACAAGTCTCCTTACTCGAAATAATTTCTTTCTAGACACACTTAGACCCACTTCACTAATTTCCTTGCAATCATTTCACCCAACAATATCGAGTAAAACAGTAGAAAAAAAAAATAAAATTAATAGAAAAAAATGTTGTCAGGCTTGCTTATAGCAAATGCTAAATAGTTTTAACGATCATTATGTACGATAAGTAGTCCTCAAAACAAAGTGAAAAGATTTGAATCACAAAAATCATGAATGACAATGACTTTACTAATAAATTTGTAAATGTTGATGATGATAAAAAACTTAAGCATCCAGAAAGGCTTTTCACACATAGACTGTCGGCAAGGAGAGATAATGTCATGGAAGAAGTCAGGAAAAGTCAAAATTTAGAAAGAAATTATTGAATGCATATACTGCTCTTCAATTTGCATAATGTTAAGATAGTAGAAGTACAAGACCAGTAAGAAAACAGTGTGCAATTGCGGCATACCTTAATGGCAGAAAATAAATGTGCAACACCTGTCTGTAACCAATTTATACCAACAAGAGGCATGAATTGCCCAAGAACATCTGATCTGCAGATTGATGGAGAAAGATTATGAGGAAAACCATAGTTAATATGACTCTTAAGAAATAATGATGTGTGGCAAAAATAACTCCCACAAATAGATTGGTGATGCAGGTTTCTGAGCAAAAATTAAGATGCATATCAAATAATCTCAACTACTATTTGCACTGATGCTCAACACATTTAGCAAAGAATTTTACACGTTCTTGTGAGTGATCAATTTTTTTTAAATGATCATAGAAATATGAACGTATGCTGAACTGATATGCACTTTGGCCAGGCCAACTAATGATAAATTGACATTGGTAAATATACACTCTTCAAATTCAGAAGGCACATGGTTCTGCTGGCGTCATAAAGATTTCAAATTTTTGGAAGGATAAATACAAGCTAGAGCTACATGTTCAGTCACTTGAAAGTTCAGCTAGCTTCATAGAGAGCTATTTAATACTTGCTTCAAAAATCCAGAAAGGTACAGAAAAGTATCCTAAATTAGCGCGTGAAAGCAATTTTTTTTTATTCCATGAATCTCTACAAATGTACAGAAACATTATCATATCCTTAAATTAAAAACTGATGTTCAGAAAAATAGTATGTTTAATTTTCTTTTTCAACTTTCCTACAAGCTAAGCCTACTTTATTTTGCTCCAAGAAAATAAACTCGTTAAGTGAAGAATAATTTAACAAGCAGCAGTTATCGTTCGGTAATGATAACCATAACCGATGTACGTTTATGCCCCCTTGAAATATTAATATCATGGAAACCATCCTGCAAAGGAAATCTAAAAAAACGAAGGAAAAAGCAATGTCTGATGATTCAAGATTATAGTTTCCTATACAATCAATATGATGTGCACGGGATGACTCCATGCAAAGGAAAATTAAGAATTCATGATTCACATTATACTTATTAACTCAACTACTCACCTTTTTAATGAAAACATGTCATGCTACAATTTAAGATGAGCGCATAATGAAACAATCGAAATTATTTTCATTATCTGAGAATTTCAACAAGAAGTTGAAAATGAATAAAATCAATAAGCAACTCAAATTAACTTTCACAAATCATATTTTGACAATGTCATTTTTTTTATCAAAATCAAGTATTCTAAACAAGCAATAACAAATTATTTAGATTAAATAGTAACAAATTATATAGATGAAATAAAAAAAGAATGAATTTATCAAAATATAAGAAAAAAATCAAACCTCATGCTGGTACAAGAAGATGAATTCCTTGAAAATTATTGAACTTAGGAGATGAAAGAATTTCTTGACTTGCTAAAATTTTAATACTATTTTGAAGACTAAAAATATGTCAGATGAGTGGAGAATGAGTGTGTTAATTCTTATTTTTAAGAATAAGGTGATGCACAAGATTGTGCGAATTATAGAGGAATTAAATTAATTTGTCATACTTTAAAATTATGGGAGCGAGTTATGAAGCGTAGGTTGCGGCATAATACTAAGGTTTCTCAAAATCAATTTGGATTCAAGCTGGATGGGTCTACTATGGAAGTCATTCATTTATTGAGATATCTGATGGAGAAATATAGAGAGGATAAGTTGGATCTACATATGATATTTATCGATTTAGAAAAAGCATATGATAAAGTTCCAAGAGAAGTGCTATGGAGAGCTCTTGAAAAGAAAGAAGTTAATAACACTTATATTCAAATCATTAAAGATATGTATGCATGAGCTATTACTTGTGTTCAAACACAAAGTGGTTTAACCAAGTGTTTTCCTATTTCGGTTGGATTACATCAAGGATCAGCCTTAAGCCCATATCTTTTTGCTTTAGTCATGGATGTTCTGAGGATGTACCTTGGTGTATGTTTTTTGCTGATGATATTCTTCTTATTGATAAGATTATAAAGGGAGTTGAAGGTATACTTGAATTATGGAGGTTAACCTTAGAGTCTAAATATTTTTGCTTGAATAGATCTAAAACTGAATATATGGAGTGTAATTTTAATAGTAATAGACCTAGTGAGGGGATTGTGACTTAGGGCAATCAAGTCATTAATAAGAGTAAACGTTTTAAATATCTTGGATCTATTGTTCAGAATGATGGTGAAATATATAAGGATATTATCAGCAGAATTTAAGTTGGAAGGTTGAAGTGGAGGAATGCATCGGGATTGTTGTGTGATAGAAATGTCTCCCTCAAACTTAAGGGAAAATTCTATAAGATGGTGGTGAGACCTGCAATGCTCTTTATGGTGCCAAATGTTGTCCATTAAAAGAGAAGCATAATACTAAGTTAAGTGTTGCAGAGATGAGGATGCTTAGGTGGATGAGTGGCTTTACTCATAGAGATAGAATACGAAATGAGCATATTCGTGAAAAAGTTGGTGTAGCTCCAGTGGAAGATAAGATTAAAGAGAGTTGCCTTAGATGGTTTGGTCACATAAAACGGCGGCCTTCCAATGACTCGGTTAGGAAAGTAGAGGTATTATATTTGACTTATGTTAAGAAAAGTAGAGGTAGACCTAAAAAGACTTGGTTAGAGAATATTAGAAATGATCTTTCCTTATTAGATTTAAACGAGATTTTAATTTTTAACAGGACACAATGGAGAAAAATGATTCATGTAGCCAACCCCACGTAGTGGGACAAAGGCTTGATGTTGTTGTTGTTGTTGCACTTGTACTGCATTTAAAATAATCATATAACAAACTTATACTCATAAATTGAAAATAGAAAGAGAAATTGTATTTAAGAAAAAGTTCTCAACTACGTGCCTTCAAGCACTACTTATCTCAATTGACGTTTAAATTAACTAAATTGGATAAAAAATTTCTCAATTTAATTAATTCAGCTAAACAATATTATTTGATGCCTGCACAATATTACACAATAGAAGCACCGCCTCATTTAATCAAATCAAAAATAAGTTCAACAGTTGCCGCCCGTTTCTGACAGAAATTAGAAATCCCGTAATAGAAATATAAAGTGAAGCCAACTGTAGGAATCGCAAGGAAAATCACATAGCCACAGCAACCGTAACTGTGTAATAAAACCAGCAGAAGATGGTATAAATAACTGAAACCCCCAAGTCCAAAGACTGCCACAAAGAAAGGTCTATTCAGACGTAAATTAATAAATCCAAAAACACCGCTAAAGGATTCCTTCTTACATACCGCAGTAAAAATTCAAAATTTACCATTTTGTTCCAGCAAATTAATGTATATTCTGTTGCAACCATTTGAGAATTTGTGCAAACCAATAAAAATGTTTCATCAATATTAAAGTTTATGAGTTGTGGCCATCATCATTAACAAGCAAATTACCAGTTCAGGATTTCTGTCATAAATATCCAATTGTTTAATAAGAAAACATGAGAAGGCTCTGGGAAAATGGAAGTGGTGAATTATAGCTCATCATCATCTGACCATTAGAGTGCACTGCGGAAAATTCTAACTGTAGAAATAAAAGCAAGTTACATGAAAGGCCAAATAAAATCTAATGCACCACGTTAAGTAACTTGCTAACCAATATGGTCATGAAATCTGGAAACATGAGATGCTACCATCCTAAGTTCAAAATACATGAACAATGTGCAATCAAGAATAAGAAAGTATATGATTACTCAGGTCAAACAATGTCTTTCACAAAATTAATAAGTTGATCAATGGACAACTAATGCATGAATAATGAAAAAGAAAAGGGTTGCATTGTGAATAATCCAAATAAAAAATTTACAATGCTTGAATAATGCATATCAAAATGAGCTTTATACAACCGGGTTCATGATGGAAATCATAATAGTATAGGTTAAAAACTGCCATCTTAATGCTTCTTCAAAGGGAGTGAGTCGCTTACCTAGTAATAGTTCCATCAACATCTGAGATAACTATTTGGGTATTCCATTTCCATAAATAGATCCTAGCATCCACCTGCTTGAAGAACTAAATGTGAGCAGGCACAAGCATGATTTGTGACGAATGGCAAAAATTCAAAGCATTTTGTAAGAAGAACCCCATTGAAAAACTTGACCTGCTGTCGTCCAAGCATTGCAGTGGAGAAGCTAAAGGTGACAACATTCGGTCCTTCTTTAAGATTCAAGGAAGTAAGCTCTTCAGAACTTGGAGTGAGCCATCGGACTTTCTTCTTCATATTCTTGGGTTTCTGCATGCCATTATTGTCGCTGTTCAGACTTTTTGTGGCCATTGAAGCAGCAATGGGCTTCACTTGATTGATATTTTCATGGGTTGACTGCACATATTTTATGGTTTTTGATCTCCTGAAGCCAAATGGCCAGAGGTTCCAGCTTCCCTCAGACAAAGCTCTCGTTGAAGATGCATCCTCCTTACCATTTTTCTCAACACGTTCAACCAAAATCACATCTTGAGGTTCAAATATAGGTTCATGTCCAAAAAGAATAATTTGCAAAACAATTGGGGCTGCTGAATTCCATGGAACATAACGACCATCTATTCTAGCTACTAGCTTATCATTCTTCAGAAGTGATGGGCCCAAAGCATGAAATCTATCCACAGTTACCTTTTCGGAGTTAAATGCTTGAGAAGCTGCACCTAATCCCATTCCTTCATAAAGCAAATGGCGGCAGAGGGATAGCTCTGGAGAACACATGCAACATAAATGAGCCTGAATTGTTATTGACGCTAATACAAAATAATACAACTAGTAAATGCATATAAACAGCCTTAACTCTCAAAGACATAGCTAAAAATCACCATAGAGCTTCTGTTAACATAACTGAATACAGAAGAAGGCAGTGTAGAGCCCATCATGCATTTTCCATGGATTTGCACTGAAAAAGAATATACATACCTATAACAGGACGAATTGCAATTCCTTTTGGTGCGTGGTCATTCTTGGTATCTAACGTTGAGGCAACAGCTTCATATGTGCAGTAGTCTTGCACCACCTTACTTTGAGAACCATCTTCCATAGTTAAGACTTTAGAACACTTAAACCTTGATAAATCACCCATGGATTTATCAAATATTACATCTAATGAGCTGCTAAGTGCGTGTGGTTGATGGGATCTTTCAAGATCATGAATGTAGGAAGGGATAGCAGGTAATGATTTTGGAGAAATCTGAGAATCTTCCAGATAGGTTTTATTTCTGGGAATTGTCATGGGACTAGTTTGACTTATTGAATCCTCTATCAAATCATCAGATAATTCTTCATCACTTATATCTTTCAAAGTTTGCCCCTCTACACCTTGACATTCAGCAGCCGCTTTGAATGACATCTCAACCTTGGTTTCGTTAATACCAAAACCATCTAAATCACTAAATAGAAACTGATCTTCCTCTGGGTTCTCCGATGATTTGACTTCGGCTTCAACTGCTATTGGTCCAGAACTGGCATCAGAATCTTGAGAATTGTTGAGCATATCGGACAAACAAGAGTTTTTCACTTCATTTTTCTCAGAACTACCAATTTTGTTAAGTTGAGAAGACTCATTAAGGATATCATGAAAATTACCAATGTGATTCCACATTGTTTCACTATCAGAACCAGTTCTCTGGTCAGACATCAGCAAATCATTAGAGCAGGGATGCAAGTATATGCTGTTCTCCTGCTGATTATCATGAAAAGTACAGCTAGTTGTATTTCTGTCTATCTCTTGATTTCGTTTCTCAATGACTAAATCCTGGTAGGTAGTCCCAGAGTCAGAAATTAGTAAACCTGCATTCTCAGAAGGGTGAAATTCAGCAGGAACTTCCCCACTTAGAAATTCTCCATTAGCCAAAGGCTTGGTCTGAGCATCAATTGAAACAGAATCAGTTAACTCAAACTTTTGATGGAGGCCTACAAAACTTCTACCATCCAGAACATCAGAACCCTCTTTTAATTTGTCACCCATGGGAGAAATTTTCGATATGTCATAACTAGTAGTTGAGCCTTCCAAAGTTTTACCGCATGTTTCCTGTTTTTCACTTCCATTAGTGGATACAGAAAATGCTGAAGCCTCAAAAGTTTCTTTCAATTTCTGCACCATGACATGAGAACTTGCAGGAACAACGGGTCTTCGGACATCAAAACTAACATCCCTAAGGTTCCAATTCTCTGATAAAAAATTTACTTCACAGCCTTCTACACCCAACGCATTTGAGGTTAATTCATTACTCTCAGCTGAACTGTTCTCAACATGGCCATTTAACCCTGAAGTACAAGTATTTTTTTGTTCAAAAAGCACCTCTGTCACCAAACTTCCATCTGAGTCATAGTGTGATTCACAATTACCAGTGCTCAATGTGGTGCCTGAACTAACAGTGGGGTTATCCGCTGATTCCTGCGATACCTGATTAAAAGAGACAGTTTTCAATGTAGTTGCCTCCCTTCTAGATGAGTTCATTTCAATGGTCATATCTTCTTCTCTCAAATTCACGGAATCACAATTGGCTCTGTCTTTAAAGTACTCTTTTCCAACAACGCTTGCTTCAAAATTATCAACTAAACATCCACCAGAGGAATTCGTCTTCCCATCACAATCCTGTGCAGAATCTAAAGGAAATATTTGCTGCTTTTCTTCTTTCTCGCCCGTTGAATTCTTTGGAAAAAAATCCTCCCTGTCAGTAGGCTTCTTCCGAGAATCATTACTGTCTACGAGATTGGTTGACCACTTCAATTCTAATAGGTTGGCAGCAATTTCTGCTCGCTCCAACGAATTCACCCGACCAACAACCTCATTTAACTCACTTTCTTTGATCGATTTTCGGCCAAACATAAGCCCAAGAATGCTAGACCTACGTGAAGTCGTCCTGGACAGAATCTTTCCATTTTGAGCACAATTACGAGCAACCGAATCACTCAAGCTGCCATCATACTTACAGCTTTGAATATTCCTAAACTGAGCGTCCCCTAATCTTTCCTCCTTCTCACCTTCCGAAGTTAGAGATGAAGTGGCAGCCTCCCCTCCTTCGGTGTTCTTCAATCTTTCCTCCCTCTCACTACCTGAAGTTTGCGGCAAAACGGCAGACTCCACTTCTACAATGTCCCCCAATCTTTCCTCCGTCTCATCGCCCGAAGTTTGTGGCAAAATGACAACCTCCCCTTCTTCGGTGTCTGACTCCTTGAGGAAGTGGGCTTCACCCTTGTGATCCAAGTACATATGGAATCCAGCTTCCACTCCATTGACAGAAATACTGACGATCTTTTCCTTCGTTTTCAAGACTCCTTGAAATTTTCCAAAACGAATATACCATGGAGAAGATTTAAAACTCCCATCCGGTTGCTGGACTACAATAATGTCGACAGCCCCGCCAAACGGATGGAAAGGCCCGGAAACTGTGTAGACGCCGCGGCTGATGTAGCTTCCAAGCTTCCCCACAGCATTCATCTTGTCAAATTCTATCCAACTCAGGAGACAACGCTCTCAATGCAATCTAAGCCCTACCCGGACAAAATCGAGATCAATCACGAGCGACGAGCTTTAATCCTACGAAACAAAACAAACATCAGAGAAGAAACACGGTGCATAAAGGCTCATGACATTCTCCTAACCCGATCCTGCTCATCCAAACAAGTTTAATCCAGAAATCAAGGAAACAGAACAAGGTAAAAACCAACAAATCGTCAAAATTAGATCTTTGGGTAAAATAACATATCAGGAATGCAATAACTTCCATATAAACGTATGAATGAGATGCAATTCTTACCGACCCAGATTGGGAACCAACTTGAGTCGGAACCTTCCAAACTACAGAAATACGGGAAATAAGCCTCCTCGGCAAAGCCTCGACGGAGGCCGAACGAGGAGAAGGGATACGCGTAGGAGGCGGACGACGACGACAGCATTTGAGATCGAAGCATATTCCATGGAAAAGTCGGCGAATATTACTTGAGGTTCACCAAATCGCTACGCGAAAGTTGGCGCCACGCCATCCCTGATAAGGTGCGCCTCTGTTCCCCTAGGCAACGTTGGGTGCGTGGACCGGATAGAAACATGGTTGACACGTTTGAATTGACCCCTCCGCCTTACGATGACCATTGCTGTTCCGCCAGGTGACAAGGCAATCCATTTTTTTGGAGCTTTCGGACAGAAACTTCTCTGCAATGCAACTGAAGACCTGGGAATCTAGGATAGTTTTCTTTAACACTATAATGGACTAAAAAACTGGCACCCGGTTGGGCAGAACATTCCGGTGCCCTCAGGTACCTTTGATACCTTGTATTCTTATGCTATGCTCTTTTGTTTGGTAATTTGAGTTTTGTGCAGCTGATCTTAATTTATTGATTGAGAGTTTTAATTATTTTAATTTAATTTGCATATATATTGTGTTAATTTGATTTTAATTGATTCAAAAATCTGAATATATGTATATATTCCTTCTTAAGATTTTAGTGTAAGATTGTTCATTTGAATCTTATATAGAATTAATAGGAGGAACTATAAATTATACATAGACAATGCCTTGTCGTGGGAATAAATTTCATGGAATCAAGTATCAAGTTGTTCGTAAAGAATCTAAGAAAGTAATATACGATGCAAAGACCTTAGCTTTTAGTGATTTATATAATAAATTAGATACTAAAGATGGAGAAAGATATATGTATAAGTTAGTCAAACAAAGAGATAAGAGTAGTAAGGATTTAATTAAAGTGAAGTGTATTAAGGATGAAGATCAAAAAATATTTTTCTTATAAGATGATATTCAACAAATGTGGATGAGATATTTTGCTAAACTTTTTAATGAAGATTGTGAAAATAAGATTGACTATAGTGACCTTAGCACCCTAAATGAAAATAAAGATTTCTGTTTTTATCGGTGTATTAATAAAACTGAAGTTAGAGAGGCTTTAAAGAAAATGAATTGTGGAAAAGCTGTTGGACCTGATGATATTCCAATAGCTAGAGGTGTGGAAATACTTAGGAGATGAAAGAAATTCTTGGATTACTAAACTTTTTAATACTATTTTGAAGACTAAAAAGATGTTAGATGAGTGGAGAATGAGTGTGTTAATTTCTATTTTTAAGAATAAAGGTGATGCACAAGATTGTGCGAATTATAGAGGAATTAAGTTAATGTGTCATACTTTAAAACTATGAGAGCAAGTTATGGAGCATAGGTTGCGACGTGATATGATACTAATGTTTCTCAAAATCAATTTGGATTCATGTCGGGTAGGTTGACTATGGAAGACATATATTTATTAAGAGATTTGATGAATAAATATAGAGAAAATAAGGATGATATACATATGATATTTATTGATTTAGAAAAAGTATATGATAAGTTCCAAGAGAAGTGCAATGGATAGTTCTTGAAAAGAAATGAGTTAATAATGCTTATTTTCAAATCATTAAAGATATGTATACATGAGTTATTACTTGTGTTCAAACATAAGGTGGTTTGACCAAGTATTTCCCTATTTCAGTTTGGCTACATCAAGTATCAGTCTTAAGCCCATATATTTTTGCTTTAGTCATGGATGTTCTCACTAGACATTTGCAAGATGATGTACCGTGGTGTATGCTTTTTGCTGATGATATTCTTCTTGCTAATAAGTCTAGAGAGGGAGTTGAAGGTAAACTTGAATTATGGAGGTCAACTTTAGAGTCTAAAGGTTTTTGCTTGATTAGATCTAAAACAGAATATATGGAGTGTAATTTTAGTAGTTATAGACCTAGTGAGGGGATTATGACTTTGAGCAATCAAGTCATTAATAAGAGTACACGTTTTAGATATCTTGGATCTTTTGTTCAGAGTGATGGTGAAATAAATGGGGATATTATCAACAGAATTCAAGTTGGATGGTTGAAGTGGAGGAATGCATCAGGCTTGTTGTGTGATAGAAAAGTGCCCTCAAAGTTAATGGAAAATTCTATAAGATGGTAGTGAAGCCTGCAATGCTTTATGGTGCCAAATGTTGGCCATTAAAAGAGAAACACAATACTAAGTTAAGTGTGGCAGAGACGAGGATGCTCAGGTGGATGAGTGGCTTTACCCTTAGAGATAGGATACGAAATGAGCATATATGTGAAAAGGTTGGAGTAGCTCCAGTAGAAGATAAGATTAGAGAGAGTCGCCTTAGATGGTTTGGTCATATAAAACGGCGGCCTTCCGATGACTTGGTTAGGAGAGTAGAGGTATTATATTTGACTTATGCTAAGAAAGCTAGAGGCGGACCTAAAAAGACTTCGTTAGAAAATATTAGGAATTACCTTTCTTTATTATATTTAAACAAGAATTTGACTTTTAATAGGACACAATGGAGAAAAAGGATTCATGTAGCCGACCCCACATAGTGTTATAAAGGCTTGATGTTGTTATTGTTGTTGTTGTCAAGTATCAAGTTGCTTAAGAAAATGAAATATAAAAATATAATGATAATTGTCCCCTAATGTTAGTGGTCAACTTCTAAAATAGTTAAAGATAGAATAGAATTTGCTTCAATTCTGTGGATTTCTCCCACTAATCTACTTTTCTCTTTCTGGAAATCTTGAATCAAAGTTTTTTATTCTATAGGTTTTTTTACTTTTTCTAAGGGCTCCATAATTTCTCCCCCAAATATAAGTTTGATTATATCATTTAGTTTTTTTTTTTCAATTTTTTCCTCAATGTTGATCCAGTTTTATTTTCTTTAATCAATAAATGTACTTATATTTGAAGAAAAAAAGTTGGCAATCGCACTAAAGATGAGTTTATCTTGATGAATCCATAGCGAGTAGATAGTATTTGGTTTAGTGCCATCACTAGTTTTCAATATTTATGACTGATAGGGTTATGATTTGTTAATAAAATTTATGAGAACATACGCAATGAGAGAGGGATAAAACTAGAATATCTTGAGGTGTAGTTATAGGTGATAAGTTTGATTTACATGTTGGTGTTGACTATGATGAGAATTTGAGATCAATCAAATGATCGAATGTGAGGATGATATGAGCATTAGGGGAGGAGGAAACTATAGAGGAGGAGGAGCTAACCATGGGAAGGAGAGACTCACTCGTGTTTGGTAACTTTGATACCTTGTGAATAATAATAATTTTAAAAAGTTTTACTTTGGATTAGATATTCTATTTAAAACTTGGGTATACAAAATATGCAAGAAGGGAAGTGAACTGGCATCTCCAAAGAATGAAAAGGGAAAATTTATTAATGTCAATAAGGAATGACGATGCCACATCCCGGATTAGGAGGCGATGCACCCAGGCAATATGAGATGTGATGAAGACATAAGTAAAATATGTTTTGTGCTCAAAATAAGAAATTTTAAACACAAGTAATATAACAAAATACAACAAAGTGTGACTCATCTAATAGAAGTAGAAGTAGGGTTTCTTGGAAGTTTTCTACTAATTTTTCGATTAAAAATAAAATGTCTAGGAATAGAAGTAGGAGTTGGGTGGCTAAGCATGACTCATCTAGTCTTCCCAAAAATTTTTATTCTTCTTTAAAAATAAAGCTTATAGGTAACAAGTCAAATGGATCATATTCTTTTGTTGTTTTGATTTCAGATGCTGAAGTTGTAAATACTATTATTCTTAATTTGAATTATCCTACATATTATTCACCTACTGAGGTTTTTCCTTTAAAATTTTCTGTTTCTGATATTATTTCTAGCAATAGTAAATTTTATTTGCTTGATAATAATAAGTTTATTGTATTACAAAAATATATATGAAGAGTAAAAAGATCTTTCGAATCATGATGATGGTTCTCATCAATCTTTTTTAAAATATAACTTTGAGTAAAGTTTTATATGATTATGATTCTAATAATCATACGATTTTAAAATAGCCCACAACTTCAGGTTAGATGGCTAGAACTAAAACTTCCATGAATGCTACACATTATTCTACTAAATAATCATATTTTTTTTCCAAATATTGCGTCCTAGAATGTTAGAGGCTTTAATAGTCTTAATAAAGTTAATTCTTGCTAGTATCTTGTGAGTTCTTATAGTGTAGATCTGATTTGTATCTTTGAATTTAAAATTAATTTGGCTTTAGTAGAGGATCCCTGGTTCTTTGCCAAACATAGGATTTTTTAATAATGAAGATAGTTACAAGAACTTTATTTTTTTTAGATTTTGAAAGAATTTGGATTAAATGGAATGCTTCTTGCATTTCTTTTCCTCTTATTTTTTCAATTAATCAGTTTATTCATGATTGTTTAAAAGTCGGTTATGCATACTCCTTTTATATCATTGTGGTTTATGATTCTAATAATTCAATTGATAGACAAACTTTGTGGAAAGATATTCTTAATATTTCCATTAATATCTCTTCTCCTCAAGTGTTGCTTGGTGATTTCAATTGTTGTAAATTTTCTAATTGTTGCGGGCTAGAATATACACGGTGATAGAGTTATAATTCTACGTCTTAGCGTTGCACGGATATCCAGCTCATATATAGATAACACAATATTTTTTACGTGGAAAACCCGAAAAAAACTACAGGGCCTAACCCAGTTGAAAATGATTCCATTAAAATTTGAGGAAAGTATAATGGTTTGACTTGTCCTTGAAGACTACTAGATTACAAATATCAACTAAGAGTTTTGCAAAAGTTGAACGTTACTCCACTGTCAGATGGTGGTCCAGTGGCACTCCGGTGTCAGGCGGTGGATCGGCAGTGCCACTTTAGTGTCAGGGGGTACTTCAGCTTCGGAATATGGCACTTTGACATCCCTTGGTGGTCCGTCGGTGGTGCGGTAGAACTACGGCGATGGTGCGACAGCACTCCGGCGTCCCTTGGTGGTCCGACGGTGGTGCGGTAGCACTCTAGTGTCCCTTGATGGTCCGGCGGTGGTGCGGCAGACCTGCGTCGGTGGTGCGACAGCACTCCGGCGGTGGTCGAGGAGGAGCTAGGCGGCTGAAGCTTTCTTCCTTCTCTTCCTTCTTCTCTCTTGGCTTCTTCCTCCTTTTTCATGAGGAAATGGGGTTCTATTTATAGAATTCTTGAGTGGCATGGCTTGAAAATAAGTGGAAGATCAAGGGTAAATTTGGAGTGGTTCGAATGGACGGCCGATCTTGATTCATACGATCATGCATCGTTCAATGAATATTT